ATAATCTTATAAATGCGTTAGAAACACATGCATGAAAGAAAAAAACATTAAAATACATATCTAAGGGTTCATTTTCCTGACATCACATTATCTGACCATTTCCGCTTGACTCATACATATACTAGATGTGATTTTTCTTAAAGTCTCTATACAATTACATTGACTTGAAGTAAAATTAGAGCTGTAAGTTAATGTATTAGGAAAAGAAATACTGAAATGAATTTCTAGATAGCTAGTCTGCTCCAAAGGGCTGTACTATCACTCTTTATAATTCGAGTCTACTAAACTAGGCGACTGGGTTTGAAACCACTAAGTTAAACAGTTTATGAGCTTAGAATTTCACTTCCACTGAACAGAAAAGCAAACTCCTGGCTGGCATCCAGCTGAATACACAATCACAACGTGGCTTCCTGGCCTCAAAACACAGGGTCTACTGTCAACCGCGCCAGCGAGCAGCCAGAGATGGGACAGGCTGCACCGCTCCACAGCAGGAGTGGGAAGTGATGCCAGTGGGTAGACTCTCTTTTTAAAGCATAATGAGGGGCTGGGAAGGTGGCTCAGTGGTAGAGTGCTTGCTTTGCATGCATAAAGCCCTGGGTTCGATTCCTCAGTACCACATAAATAGAAAAGGCCAGAAATGGTACTGTGGCTCAAGTGCTAGCCTTGTGCAAAAGCAGCTCAGGGACTGTGTCCAAGTCCTGAGTTCAAATGCCAAGACTAGCGGGGAAAAAAAAGCATAATGATGGTCTAACATCAAAGATCTATATTCCCAGGAAAAAGTCGCCTCCTACAACTCTAAAACAAAACACCCACTCTTTGTTCAACACTGATGTCTTCGAATAGTCAATCCAGTCCAAGTGTCAGGGATCCAGGCTGCAAAGAGCCTGCTTCCCACTTTTGCACAGCCTTGGGCTAGGGAGGAGTTTACATTTTTAAATTTTTTTAAAGAGGAATATATTTCTGGACAAGTAGCACATAACAATTGTACTGAATTACATTAAAGTTTGAGGATCCACAAATAAACTACCTTGGAGCAGCCCGTGCCCAGAAGCCCACATCACCCCGCCGGGTGCCAACTCCAGGTCTGAGCAACTGCTTTCTGTGTCTCCTCTTTAAAGACTAGGAGCTGAATTTGGTGGAAGCCTGGAGGGAGGAGCCCTTTGCCAAACTGAGAGTTACAGGGAGTAGCGATGTCTTTCTGTGTTCTTATAAACAGGAATGGGGAAGGTTGGGCCCATGGGCTGCCAGGGTCCCAATGTCACTTGGTATGCAATGGGACAGACAGGCACACCTCCCACTGAACGCTGTGGCCCTCTGCCTTATAGGTAATCCTGTACAGCCTGAGAACAATGTCATAAATATCCAAATGACTCTGGGTATTCACACAGAGTGACACAAAGACCTGTGTGCATCTGATCATAGACAATAGCAGTTATCAAAATAAACTCCAGGAGATGGAAACAAGAAGTGTTTTCTTTTTTGCTATTTGTTTTCTTTTTATCTTGTTTGCTTGTTTATGTCTTTGAGAGGGTAAGGGGGCACAGAAATGGAGGGACAAAGTAAACAAACAAATGCAGCAGTGGTACTCACTAGACACGATGTTGAAAAGGAACTATACAACTGGGTACCAGTGGCTTACCACTATAACCCTAGCCACTATAACCTGAGCATTGCAATTCAAAGCCAGCCCAGGCAGAAAAGTCCCCATGAGATTCTTAGCTCCAATTAACTATTCAAAACCCAGAAGTAGAGATTTGGATCAAAGTGGTAGAATGCTATCCTTGATTAAAAAGAGCTTAGGGACAGCACCCAGGCACTGAGTTCAAGCCCTATGACCCAGGGAGGGGGGGAGTAAGAACTATACAACTTGTGGGTAGGGATGGGAGGGAAAAACTGGGAGAGAGCCAGTGAGAAGGTGACATTATCCAAAAAGAAATGTACTCATTACCTGACTTATGTAACAATACATTACCTATGTAATAACTTTTTAAAAATATCCAAATGGGGCTGGGAATGAGGCCTAGTGGTAGAGTGTTTGCCTAGCATGCATGAAGTCCTGGATTCCATTCCTCAGTACCACATACACAGAAAAAGCCGGAAGTGGTGCTGTGGCTCAAGTGGTAGAGTACCAGTCTTGAGCAAAAGCAGCTCAGGGACAATGGCCAGGCCCTGAGTTCAAGCCCCAGGACTGGCTAAATAAATAAATAAATAACTGGATAAATAAGCAAGCTCAGCAGAACAAGGGCTCCCATCTCTGCTGAAAGAATGCCATCCGTATTGGCAGGCACCTAGGACCCAGCACCCCTCCATGCAGTTCACGCTGCACCCCCGCTGCCCCCACAAACCTCTTGGGGACGTCAATGTTCCTAGAGACGGGTCTGTAGGCTGGGCCCCGGGCCCCGTGCTCCTGGGGAGGCCCCTGAGGCGCAGGGGCGCCCTGCCGCTCCGCCAGCCACACTTCCTCCGCCTTGCAGCACACCTGCAGCTTCTGGTCCAGCAGCCAGACCGTCACCTCGTCCTCCGCCCAGCGGTGCCGCTCCACCAGCCCCAAGCGCTCCTGGCCGCCATGCCACACACGCACCTGCAGGGAACGCGGCCTGGTCAGCTCACCCCCACCCAGGCTCACAGCCGGGAGTCAGGACCAGTCTGCCACAGTCTCCCTGGGCACACTCATCTTTAAGTCATACGCTGCCCTACAGTCTGTCCCAAAGTTCAGGTGGTACAAAGCTTAATACCCCATGGAACAGCGCTAGAAAGTCGCTAGAACATGGCAGCTCTGCTGTGGGACAGGATTAATGCCATCATCACAGGAACAGGTTAGCTATGCAGAGAGTGGGTTGGATACCAAGGGTACCTACAATCGAGTCCAGCTCCTCTCGTTCTTCTGCTCACCTCTCATTCCCAGCCCCCTGAACATCAAGTCAAATGAAAATGATCATCGACAAATGACTCTGTGTGGTATTGTTACAGCTTCTGGAGACAGGCAGGCTGCCGTGCAGGTCCCAGTACTCACCACCACCCATTCTTCCCCAGAGATCCCTATGGACCCTGGCCTGGGCCAGGGGGTGGACCGGCAGCTGGGCTTTGCACTGAATCTAGAACCGCTGCCAGTGCCCCTGCACATCTGCTGTGCCACCTGCTCAGGACTGCCTGTGCCCTGTGCCCTGTGTCCCTCCCTTCAGAGACGTCCGTGAGGAGGAGCTGGAAGGCAGGGCTTGCTTTAGGCTTAAAATCCTCCTGCCTCAGCCTTCCCAACTGCTGTGATTACAGGCATGCCTCGCCCTGCCTGGTGTCAACTTGCATAGATTTGAGGCCCTTTTCCAGACTGTGTAAAGTTGCAGATGACACACCCCTGAGCTAGGGCTGGGCTTGGAGCATCCCAGAATGCATGGCCACCTTGTCAACTAGACACTGCCATGGGCCCCCAAGGGAGAAATGACAGCGCATTCACTGCTTAGAGCCCCGGGGCTGGAGGAGGCAGTCCGAGATCAAACCAGAGCCCAGAGCATTTCCAGCTGGTCACTCAGGGAAATCAAGGCCCAAGCCTTGGACGCAGGGCCTGTCCGGGTTGGATCCACTTACCTTCTGTCCAGGCTGAAAGGCCACCTGCTGGAGGCCCGGGGTGCCCAGAGCCTTGCGGGCCTCCTTGGGCTGTTCTTGGCATGCAGGGTCCTTAGAGGCGAGGGTGGGCTGCGGAATGGCGCCCTCTGGCAGCTCCAACGGTGGCGGCGGCTCCGAGGGTGCTCCAGTCCCCGCTGGCCCATCCGAAGCACCGGGTCCCAGCACCCGGGCCCCCAGGAGGGAGCGCTTACCCAGCCGGCGAGACAGCACGCTGGCCATGCTGCTGCCTTCTTCGGGGGAGGCAAAGGCCACAGTGAGTCACGGCCCACACGTGTCTGCGGAGGGGAGAGACACTGATCACACCGTCATCCTTCCTGCTTCCCGGGAAAGAGTGTACAACATACTGAAAAGCGCAAAGGAAAGCGCGCCAGCATGAGCCTTCAGTGGCCCGCTCCTCTGCCAAAAGGGCCCCGCCGTTTTTAAGCGGGCTTTCTCTGACTGTGGCTGGAAAACACAACCCCACGGCTCTTCAGCAGACACATGGGGCCGGTTTACACCTGTGTCCCTGAGGGTGGGGCCCGAGTCCCGCTGTCCTCAGGCCCCGCCCACACCAGAGGCCCGCACACTGGCAGACAAGCGTGGGGAAAGCCCTCACGCACAACCCTGCGGCTCACACATGAACACAGCTGTCTAAGACACACACTCCCTAGCCAGGAGGGCCAGGGCCGTCATAATAATGTGCGGGTCTTGGAAACAAACCCCACTCCAGCCTCCCCCTGTCACGCTCCAGGGAACGAACCCTGAGCATCGCCTACCCGACCACAGTGGCAAAGGGCTACAAGGAGACTCCTGCCCTGCCCAGCCCGGCTCTGCCTCCTCATCTCTGTCCTGGGTCATCTGTTCACATCCTGTGTATTGAGATAGTATGTAGTTGAGGAAAGGAAACCAGCAAAGTGCCTGCCAGGAGCCACAGGGCTGAGGCAGGTGTAAAACCCAGGTTTGCCAAACATGGTGACACACGTTTGTGATCCAGCTACTCAGGAGACACAAGCAGGATTATGATCTGAGGCTGGCTCAGGAAAAAAAAAAAAAAGTGAGGCACTACCTGAAAAATACCAAAAAAGGGCTGGAGTTGTGGCTCAAGTGGTGGAGTACGCCACTTTGCCTGGCAACTGTGAGGGCCTGAGTTCAAGTACTACTGCTGCTGTGGGGCTGGGAAGGTGGCTCAGTGGTAGAGTGCATGCCTTGCAAGTACTACTGCTGCTGGTCACTGCCCCCCCCCATCCCAGAATACTCCCTAGGCTACTTCCAGGCATGCGGCCATTATGCCACATTCCTCCTCAACCACCAGGCGACAGGTGCTGGTGGCTCATGCCTGAAACCCTAACTACTCAGGCAGTGGAGGCTGAGATCTGGAGTATTACAGTTTGAGACCAGCCCAGGTAGAAAGGTTCTCTAGAAGCCAGGCACCAGTGGCTCATGCCTGTAATCCTAGCTACTCAGGAGGATGAGATCTGAGGATCGTGGTTCAAAGCCAGCCGGGACTTGAAAGTCCGTAAGACTCTTATCTCCAATTAACCACCAGAAAACTGGAAGTGACGCTATGGCTCAAGTGACAGAGTGCATGCCTTGAGCAGAAGAGCTCAGGGGCAGTGCCCAGGCCCAGAGTTCAAGCCCTACAACCAATAAAAGAAAAAGGAAGGGAGGGAGGGAGGGAGGGAGGGAAGGAGGGAGGGAGGAAGGAAAGACAGACGGACAGAAGAAAGGAAGGAAGGAAGGAAGGAAGGAAGGAAGGAAGGAAGGAAGGAAGGGTTCTCTAGACCTCATCTCCAAAAGAACCAGCAAAAGAATGACTAGAGGCATGGTTCCAGTGCTAGGAGCCAGCGCACCAAGCACAAATGAGGTCCCAAGTTCAAACCCTAGTAGTGATGCAAAATAAGTATATAAATGAGGTAAAATCGGTGCCCTTGTCAATGCGAACTGTCTGAACAGTTCTGCAGACCTTTTTTCACTTTTTTACCCTGGTCCAAAAATACTTTGGGTGCATTTGGGCCCCTCCTCAGTCCTGGCCTCTTCCCAGCTTGTCTGGCAAGTTCTACTAGCAAGCATCTCTACAATAACAAACCACGGACTGCAAAAATAACTCTGCAGGATAATAAGAAAGTTGCAAAGATTGAGCAAAGGCATTTTACCCAGGGCCTCGAGGGCTGAAATGTGATAGAGCGTCTGCACTGTGAATGCCCAAGAAAGCAGAGCTGGGAACAAGAGAGCGCTCCCCGCCCCTGTGCACATTTCTCTAGGCCCGGTGGCAGTGACTTCGCAGCAATCGCCTTTCGGGGGTAAATTTCTCATCACGCCGGGAAAGCTGGAGTAAAGGACTTGGGTGTGGCTCTAAGGTAGAGAGCTTACCTCGCTTTCCTCAGGCTGGGGATTCCATCCCCAACATGGGAAAAAATCTAGAGTCTTGGAGGTGTGGTCATGTGGCAGAGCAGCAGCCATAAGCAAGCAGAGTAAGAGTATGAGGCCCTAAGTTCAAGACCCAGTACTGAAGAAGGAAAACCAAACAAACCCAGAACTTCTAACTAGTTCCATAGAAGCTGATGGAAGCTACAGACATGGTGCAATACCAAGTTCAGACATCAGATGGCAGCACCAACCCAGGCTGGGGGGGGGGGAGCAGACTATTCTTGGCAGAAATCCTAGTGGCCACCCCCACTTTCCAGAGCAGGAAGTTTGGGGTTTCTACCACTGAAAATGAAGGCAGGGTTGTGTTTCCAAAATTCCTGGGTTTCCAGTCCTCAGACAGCGCGCCTGAGATGTTTGGCCAACAAACTCTGCCGCTGTTTTTGTAAGCCTTTTCTTCTCTCTTAAGAACTTTCTAGCTTGTTGGTAAGCAGCGAGATCTGCCTGTTGGAAGCAGGCGACCTGCCTGCTTCCTGTTTGCTCCCACACTGCCGGCCGGGCCTTCTTCTCTAGCCTTTCTCCCCAACTCCAGTTAAAACAAATTTGATTGTCGGTTTTATTTATAGTACTCCTAAATCTTAATTTTTAAAAGCAGAAGAGAAAGAAGGAAGGGAAACTGTCTTTATTAAGTGCCTCTCAGACATTTTTATAAATTGTATCTAATTTGAGTTTCAAAACAATTTGAGACGACCCTGAAAAGGCTGTGCTTGTGGCTCATGCCTGTACCTTCGCTACTCAGGAGGCTGAGTTTAAAGCCAGCCCCAGCAGAGGACTCCAAAAGGCTCCTATCTCCAATCCAGTTCAACTTGGGGGAGGGGGGAAGCACAGTTTTTGAGATTCTAGGTAACTGAGCTGCAGATAGGGGGCGGGAGGTCAGACTTCAGACTGCCAAAGTTACAGGACTGGAACAGACAGCTTTGGGTTTGAACTCACATCTATCTGGTTGGTGTCCAAGGTCACAACCCTAGCAAATTCAGTAGGTGTGGAATCTCACAAAATAAAACACGGCATTAAACTGCTTTCCATTCACATTCACGTGCTATTTTTTTCTCTGATAGACTCTGCAGGTCTAGACCTCCCCTCCCCCCAGCTTCCATTCCATGGAAATCCGTCCTCCGCTGGCATCTCAGCTGCTTCTCAACACAACTCAAGGTCGCAGCTTCGCTCTGACCTTGCCCGTCGTCCAAGCCGCTGTTAATCATTTAGCGGCAAGGGCTGGAAAGACCTTTGCACACGCACATGCCCCTCAGAGGGCCAAAGGGATCATGGGATCGGCCAAACAGGGGACACCGGCGCCCCATGGAGGTGGCCGGGCTTCGCACGATGCCGTTGCCGACTGCCCTCCTCCTGTCTTCACCGTCCTTACGAAGCTAGGCTGGCCAGAGCTCCATGGTGCAGACCACAGCAGGAGGCTCATGGAGTCACCAGCCGATAGGGTTACATGGCAGGCAGGCCCAGGAGGTGGGGAAGGGAGGGAAGTCACAGCTGTCCCCCGCCCCCCGCCTCCAGGAGCCCCCTGCACAGGGCCTTCCCTGACCTCCACCTCCGTTCACTCTGGCACAGGTGCTGCACGTGATGCTGCCGCAGGGGAGAAACCCAGAAGCTTCTACTTCAGGATAACAACAGTATTTCAGCAAATCACTGCCCTACATTTTATAGTCTCCACTTAACAAAATCCCTTGTTTGGACAAAAACCTTTGCCAAAGGCACCCCCGTAGAGTTTTAGGGGGATCTGGAGCCCCCCTTGCCCCTCAGCTCTAGTGCTGTCACCCCCCGGAGGGCCTGGCTACCCTGGAATGTGTGGACGGGTCAGTGTCTAAAGAGGGTGAGCCTTGTCCGGGCCCAGCGCACACATCCTGATGTGTAATGGCCCCTAATGAGGACATCTGCCACCGGCTTCTAACTGGAACTGACAGAACAGGAAAACAAACCTTCTCTGTGATTCAGAGTTGCAAACTGCTATTGTCACATGACCGAGGCTGCACAACACATGCCTCCACACACGTACGCATGTGCACACGGTGCCGCTCTCGCTCTCTCCACCCACCCAGCGCTGTGGCAACACAGCCTGACAGCCCAGCGGCATGGCCAGGACACAGGCCCCCAGCAGGGATTCACTCACAGCTAAGGGGGTTCTCTGAAAGCTTAGGAGAGTGAGGTTTGGAGTAAGAGCCCTACATGCAGAAGCTCGGGCGCTTGCTCCCTCTGTAACGCGTCATTTATGGGTCAAGGTAAGAGTCGCACCCCTTCAAGAATGTCTGCCAAACCTCAGCTTTGGTATTTCAACATCACCCACTGCACAGTGCTACAGTTCAAGTTTTCAGTTCTTGAATCAGTATCTTGTGTATCCTCATTCTTGGCACTTCTGGGACTTGGAAGTCAGGGCCTCAAGCTTGTGCGCTGCTTTTTCACTCATGGCTGGCACTCTACCACTTAAGCCACACCTCCAGTTCTAGCTGGTCAATTAAAGGTAAGAGTCTCATGGGGTTTTCTATCTAGGCTGGCTCTGAACTGTGATCCTCAGATCTCAACCTCTTGAGTAGCTAGTACTACAGGGCTCATATATCGTGTGTGTGTGTGTGTGTGTGTGTGTGTGTGTGTGTGTGTGTGCACGCATGCGCGTACACGCACGTGCAAATGTGCTAGCCCTGGATCTGAACTCAGGGCCTGGCACTGTCCCTGAGTTTTTATGCTAAAGACTAGCTGGCTCAAGGCTAGCATTCCACCTCTTGAGCCTCAGCTCCACTTCAGGCTTTTTTCCTTTGGGTGTTTAATTGGGAATAAAACATTCATGGACTTCCCTGCCCAGACTGGCT